CAGGGTATTATACTTTCAGTCATAAGCTTATAAAACTTGAAGGAGTCATTTCCGACCCTATAAATCATACATATTCTTGATCAGAATCAACAGCTGAATCGATCTAGGCATGTCCGGTCAAAACTTAATTTTTGAAATTTTTCCGAAATTTGAAAATTTTATAAGGGGTTACATCATTAAAATTGTCAAAATTGGCAAAAATTTCCAATTTCTAAAATTTTAAATTTAGTATGCAGATTTATTAACCTAATAAAAACTAGCATAGAAGTGGTTTCCGAATTTAAATTAATTCATTTTTGGCTTAGTTATGCAATTTTAAAACTTAGATTTTCCGAAAAAATTGTCTAATAAAAATGTGGCTTAGTATTGATTCACAGAAGGCAGAAAGTTTAAGCTTAGCTATTTTTTAAAATTGTTAATTGAGTATGCAGATTTATTAACCTTATAAAAACTTACATAGACCCGTTTTCCGAGTTGAAATTTATGCTTTTTTGGCTTAGTAATGAGTTTTTTACAATTTGATTTTTCGTAATATTTTACATGATTAATAATTTAATATCGATTAAAAATGGTATTGCACCTTCAGTCAGGAGCTTAAAGAAAGTGAAGGAGTCATTTCAGACCCTATAAATCATATATATTCTTGATCAGCATCAACAGTCAAATCGATTAAGACAAGTCCGGTCGAAAACAAAAATTTCAAAATATTTTCGATTTTTTAAAAAAATGATAAGGGGTTACATCATTAAAATTGTCAAAAATTGGCAAAAATTTCAATTTTCTAAAATTTTAAATTTAGTTTGCAGATTTATTAAAATAATAAAAACTAACATAGGAACGGTTTCCGAATTGAAATTAATGCATTTTTGGCTTAGTTATGAAATTTTTAAACTTAGATTTTCCGAAAAAATTGTCTAATAAAAATGTGGCTAAATATTGATTTACTGAAGGCAGAAATTTTAAGCTTACCTCTTTTTTAAAACTATAATTTGATTTATTAACCTAATCAAAGCGTACATAGAACCGTTTTCCGAGTTGAAATTAATGCTGTTTTGGCTTAGTTATGAGTTTTTTACATTTTGATTTGTCGTAAAATTTTATATGAAATATAGTTAATATCGATTAAAAATGGTATTACACCTTCAGTCAGGAGCTTAAAAGAAAGTGAAGGAGTCATTTCCGACCCTATAAATCATATATATTCTTGATCAGCATCAACAGTCAAATCGATTAAGACAAGTCCGGTCGAAAACAAAAATTTCAAAATATTTTCGATTTTTTAAAAAAATGATAAGGGGTTACATCATTAAAATTGTACAAAATTGACAAAAACTTCAATTTTCTAAAATTTTAAATTTAGTATGCAGATTTATTAAACTAATAAAAACTAGAACAAAAATGCTTTCCGAATTGAAAATAATGCATTTTTGGCTTAGTTATGATATTTCAAATATGCCGATTTACCCAAAAAATTAACTCAAAAAAAATAACGATTTAATATGCCTAAAATACAAAACCTTGTTGTCTGGGAGGTTTACGAAGCTCAAAAAGATGAATCCATTGTTGGCTTAGTTAAGATAAATTGCACTCATATGATCTGAATACAAGGGCATACAAACTTCAGCTTCTTTTCTTTACTTTTTCGATGGATTTTGGGTGCCCCTTAAATATATATATTGTTTTTTCCTGGTTTCTTGTGAGTTGCATGTTGAACATGACTGGAAGTTGGAGCTGCAGTTTGCTTAGGGCGTACTTAAGTACCGTTATTTTAATAAACGCCGTTTGCCCATGCGCAGCTCGAACTGGCCTTGTTTCATTGTGTCCCTCTCCTTTGCGGCCCAGCCTCTCCTGTTATTTGGGTAATTTTTTCCTGTTGCCCAAAAAAAAGACTTTCTTCACATAAAAGAAATTGAATTACTGCTGATGGCAACTAAGTTGCTCAACAAAAAAAAGAGCAAAAAATTTGCTTGCTCATGGCATTTTTTGTTTTGCAACAAGAGAGGAGACATGGGAAGCTAAGAGGAAGTGCCTCATAAAGTATGCCATTTGATTATTGTAATATTTATTTACTTTGTGCATTGCACAGAACCTTTGTTTGTTTATTTTTCGTTTTCTTTTTTTGTTTTGCTTCGGTCTGTTTGTCGCTTTTTGCATAAACATTTATGCAAATGTCAAATGCCTAATTGACAGACAAGAGCCAAGTGTTTGCCTTGCCTTCTCCTGAAAAAAAGCGAAAAGTGGGGCTAGGAGGATAGACTATGAGATACCCATCTCTATTCATTAAAAGCGTTACTTCTCGCATTGAATTAAAAGCTCCCAGTAATATCTAGATCATCTTCGATAATGATTTTTAATAGGCAGCTATTGTATCTCCTTTTTCTTTAGTTTTAAATTGTAATTTAATATTTAGAAAATTTATTTTTGGTACTTATAGTTAAAGAAATGTATCTTAAAGTTACCGGATGACCTTACATCTTGCATAAATCTGTATCTACAAGACCTTGAAACGATCTATTCTCTATACTTCTTGTGATTCCAAGCATCCATATACCCCTATAATATTCAAGTACCCAGCACTGAAAAACCCCATGACAGTGACCAGGCATTGTCTATGCTGGCGGCGAATTACAATTTACGATCGTCGATCAGCGGATCGAGCTCCACATTTTGTCAGCGACTCTCGGGCTCAGATACATTTTCCGCTGCGGCGCAGCCCCCTGATTTGGAACGACCTTGAGCCTTTGTGCGGCAGAATAGAGACGCAACAGCTACCCCTCACGGGGCACCCAATTATCTGGCTGGATATACGAGTTATAAAGTGATCTAATGAATTTACTTTATGCGTGTTTCATTTGATGGCGATTGTCCGATAAACATTTTATTTCGCTTTTTATGGCCCTAGCTGGCTGCCGTCACATTTGTTTGTTTTGAGTGAAAGTAATTTGTCGATTATCTGTTTTTTTGGTGGATGTATCTAAATCTGTGGACCTGACACGCCTAGATACTTGGCACGTCAAGTGCTAAGAGCCAAAATCTGTGAGAGCTTGTCGTCCGCAGATTCTGTGAGTCATGCGAGGAAAGAAGAAAGTTTAAACAATGTCTTTGGGGCCTTGGATTCCTCGCCTTTCCCAAACTCTGAAGATCATCATAATGAATGATGATGATGATGGACGTAAATATAGTTGTAGTCATCAAAGTTTTATGCCTACACACAGTCGCTTATTTAGTTAATAATCATTGGCCAGCAGCAGGTGAAGAGAAATTTAAGGTTGTTTTTTTTTTTTGGGCGTGACTCTGCTGGAGGATGAGGTTTTCAGAATCAATAATGGGCCAGCCATAAAATATCCAAAGTTGAATACGATTACACGCCCCAAATCAGATTGTTCAATCATGGAATAATTTGAGTGAATTAAATCTCTTGGCTCTAATCCGATCCGATCTGCTTGCGATTAAGATAACCAAGGGGAGTGGGAAAGAACCAAAGTTATCCCACAAATTGGCCCCATCTTCCTCTGCGATGAGATCTTCCATTACATTTATTCCACTCGAGTTCATAGCAATCGACAAATTGTTTTGCCATATATGTATCATTGGACTCTGCCTTGGCCAATCGACATCATTATTTATATCGCCAGTCCGAAGTCTGCAATTCCGGGCCATTTACATGATCACCTGGAGAAGAAGAGGAGAAGAAGCCAGCCAAGCCGACCAGCCGACATTGACAGGCGGAATAAAGGCAATCTTCCATTTAATAACCAATTATCATTGATCAACTGCACGCCCAGCCCCCAAGAGAGATCGGTCGCGATCTGGAGACTCAAGGAATACCGAAAGACAGACGCAGACACAGAAACGGAGACACTGGCCACTGAGCAATATCAATTACGAATTACATCTGATTATCCGCCTGCCTGGGAACTATCCAGGGCCATGGCCAAGGTGATCGTGGCTCCAGCTCCAGCTCCATTCCCGATTCCGAATCCCGCCCGGGGGCTGTGTGTGTGTGTCTGTGTCTGATTAGCGCATAAACAAGTTAATGCCATTGATGATGCTGAGAGCCACCTGAACAGACGCCAAGTGCATGGCAATGGGGCAGAGTACGTGGTGCAATGTTATTGTTTCTCTCTGCGTAGCACTTTGGACCTCCAAAACCGCTGGCCAAGATAAATGGGCCAGGGCAGAGCCAGCTGCCAGGAGAGTCAGAGAAGCCTGAGATAAGCCTGAGGTACCAGCGAACTTCTGGCCTGTTTGGGAGTCTCAGTGCGTCGTCGTCGTCTGTTGACAACTGTCGGCGGCTTCCCGAGCTTTTGATCTTGACGACGCTTTAGCCTCCAGATAAGTGTGCGTCTGCCTGTTCCCAGTTCCTAGAATATGTATCTCTTTGTCCGTTTGCTGTTTGCCCAGCCAACACTCTTGGAGGCGGACAGGGAGGGCGTTGATATGCTAATGTTGTTTGGGATTTTGCGCTTAGGGTTTGGACAGCCAAAAGTCAAACATTGTTTGTTGACGTTACCTTGAATTCGGTGTAGGGAAACAAGTGAGACAAAAGCTCAAGACTTACAGCGAAGAATAAATAGAGATGTTCGGGAGATATGTCATGAGTTCAACGTTTGACATCATAGTTAGGGTTCAATTGCTCTGTCGGCTACTGGGTGGAATAGTTGTCTAATTTGCATGAATACATAGAAATTGTGAGGGGAACCAACTGAATAATTTATTTATAAAAGAAATAAGTTAATGTCTTAAAAAAAAAGAATTCCAATTCACTGGAATTTAAGCAGACTTTGAATTTTTAAGTGTAATCCCGGAATAGTCTGCAATGGGGATGCTGTAACTCATTGACATTAACTTGGACAATTGCCTGTGGGAGTGCTCCCTGTGCTCCCATGCAAATGAGGGGGACAATTATGCTGATCAGCGCTAATTGAGCTTCTCCCTCAAAGAATGACCCACAGAGTGACTAACCCAATTTTTTTTTCCATCTTTTCTGTCATCCACAGGCTGCCCGGCGACGACGAGCTCCCACTGCCAGCGCTGCAACAAGGCGGGCTGCATCAAGTGCTTCACCTACCTAGTGACGGATACCAGGCAATGTGTGGATCAGTGCCCTGCCGGTTACCTGGACCAATGGTCAGCTCACACCGAGTTCATGGGACGAGTGTGCGTGCCCACAGGCTACTCGGGTCCACTGATGGCTGCTCTGGCTGGGCTCCTGGGCGGCTTCCTGGTCTGCCTTTCCCTTCTGGCCGTGGCCGTGATGCTGGTTAAGAGAAAGCGGCGACGGAAGTCCGTGAAACAGAAGCTCATCAACGAGAACACCATGGATCGAGCGGACTTCATGAGGCAGCTAAACGAGATGCGGCCGAATGCGGAGTACTTCCTGGCCATGCTAAACGACACCCGGCGGCAGATCCGCAAACTCTATCTGTCTGGCGAGGTGGCGGCTGCCAATTCCTACCGCCCCATTGTCCGGGATCTGGCCAAGCTGCTCATCCTGCTGAATAGGCCCATTGAGCTGATACCAGCTCCTCCGCCGGATTGGTCCCGCCTGTATGCCTGGTCTGAGCAGGCATTGGAGCGGTACAAGCCCCAGGTGGGTCAGCTAATCGACTTCTTCCAGGCCTCACACGGAGGCGGAAGTGGTCATCAGGAAGTGCTCTATGCGGCTCCGGCCAAGAAGAAGCAACATCAGCAGGCCAGCATCTTCCGGCAACAGGTGACGCCCACGGCGACGCCTCAGGGAGTGGGCGAGCTGATGGCCGGGGACAGGAACAGCAGCGCTTCGGCGCAACAGAAGCTGCACCTCTTCGGATCGCTGATCAGCCTGCACGAGTTCGAGGAGCCAAGGGCCTCGGATCCCTTCGGTAGCAGCTTCAACACGCTGAAGAGCGGGAATCTCATCAGTGATCTCAACGCCAGCTCACTCTGGCTGGAGGACGAGTTCTACAAGCTGGGCTTTCGACCGCAGGACGAGATCACCACGGAGCTGTAACCGCCGCATCACAAAACTCAGACTCAAATTCAAACTCAAAACTTAATGTAATGAAGTATTATCCCGGCTGACGGGGCTAGCGGATCGGATCTAGCGCCAGTTCAGCCGGGGGGAGGAGCATTTGCGTGCACATTCCGCCAGGCCATCATCATCGTCATCATCAGCGAGATCGACTCCATTTAGCTGGAGCCGCTAAATGCCCACGTTTAGAGTTACTTAGATCAGTTAAGCAAGCAAACTAGTCACGTAAAATCACAACAAACAAAACCATCATCAACACACAACGATGCCGTGCAGGAAAAGCCGAAAAAGGAAACACTGAAGTGAAAAACAGCAAATGGAAATCGCGTGGAAATGAATTTAGTTTTATGGATTTTACAAAAATCGCAACAATCATGTAACGAACAATATTCAATATACACACTATATAGATACTATTCAGATTTAAAGTAATGTGTTTAAACTTATAGCCATAGCTTAGGTAGACAGAGATTATGGAGCTTATTGAATACGAAATGGATAATAAAATCGTGTGCCTTAAGAGTGTAAAATCAGTAACAAGTTGTATCATTATGCAGGCGCCTTCATCCGACCAGGTCAGTCGACGCTAAGGCTCCTCGTACTTCCAGAGTATGTCGGGTTCCACTTTGACCACAACGGCGCCTTGTCATGTATCCTCCTTGATGGCTTCCATGGCGGCCAGGTGCTCGGGTGACTTTTTCCGCTCGTTAACCAGTCTGGACAGCTCCCTGGCATCGTAGCCGGTCAGCAGCCGGAGGTCACAGTCGAATTTGTAGGCGAACCGCTTGCCGGACACCTTGGAGATCATATCTCCATCGTAGTAGTAGCGCAGCGCCCTCGACAGCTTCTCGTAATTCATGGCGGGTTTGTTCTTCTTCTCACCCCACAGGCGGGCCACGCGATCCGGATCGCTCAGCTTGAACTCGCCGTCGGTGCCCACCCATTCGATGATGTCCGTATGCTCGGAGTCGGTGAGGATCTCGAGCAGGAATTGCCACAATTGCACTTGACCATTGTTGCCGGAGCCAATGGTGGTGTAGTTTGTGGGACTGTGTGGCGCGGGTGATAAACTTTCAGCGGCTGTAAATAAAGAGATATATTAATATACAAGCTCTGGTTGATTTTTATTGAACTTACAATCGGAACTCTTGACACTCTGGTAGGATTTCCTCATAATTCGCTGTTCCAGGGAACCCCCTGTAGCCGACATTATTGCGTTGGACATAATCTTGGGCTGTTTGGGTTTCCTCAGCTCCTCTGCCTGCTTGTGCACAACGGACACAAAGTTGCACTCCTTGAGCAGCTGCAGGTGCGTCCAGAACACGTTGCCAGGATCGCGGGGCAGTTTCCGACAGAACTGCTGGTGCGTCATGCTGCACAGCTCCTGGCCGTTGATCTGCCAATCGCTCATGTTGATGTCCTTCAGCTCGAACTGCTTGATGGCCCACTCCAGCCAGTGGGTCACATGGGACTGCGTCCATTCGCTGGCCGCCTCGGGTATCTTGAGACGTGCCTGCTCCCGCTTGAACTTGCTGTCCAGCACCCAATTTAGGACTGGTTTCACTTCCTTGCCGGCCTCCACGCTCTCTTCCTCAGACTCATCCTTGATCTTTCGTTTAGTGGGGGTTTTTTTGGGGCTTTCGCTGTTCGAACTGCCGGTGTCAGGCGGGGTCAGATGGCCTAAAGTCTCCTCTGCGGCCAGGGTAGCCAGTGCATCTTCTGTGGGTTTCAGAACATCGGCGATATTGATGCGCTTGCCTATGGTTTGGATTTGCACATTAATCTGTACCAGACCCTCGCCCTTGACGCACTGATCTACCAGGTTCTTGTGGGATTCCAGCTGGAAGGGAAAGTAGTTTAAATAAGTTGAAAGAATCCACAGGAGCTTGTTTCACTTACCTCCTGGGCATCCTGCAGCCAAAATGTGTAGTAATTGAGGCACACGTCGATCTTCTGTTCAACAAGTTTCCTGTTGAGACGGAGCAAGAAGAAGAGATGTGAAATCAACCCCCGCTAGTGGTTAGGGAACACTCACCTCAGCGTGCTCAGCGGTTCCCGGATGTCCATGTGCACTATAATAATGTCATCCGGCTCCGCCTCTGCCTCCACATCGTTGCTGTCCTCGTAGATGGTCGTCTCCTGGAAGATTTCGTTGGCAATCACCTCCTCTGAAAATCAGAAACTAAAAAGTTACAACAGGTGCGACCCCAATTGGGAATTCTGCGTTCTCGGCTTACCCAGAGCCCCGCCAACGCTGAGGCGGCGGATCAGCTCATCCGACAGGTCGTTGCTGCTGTCCATTAATTTGTTTGCCACTAGCCGTCAATGTTTCTTTAAATATTTATTTATTTATTTGTTGAAAAATATTTATCTCGTGGTTGGTGTGACCGTCGCGGACTACAGCTAAAACATTGAAGTTGCTTTCGATACTATCGATATTTGAAAAATTACGATATATCGATACGATTTGCCGAGAAACGTAAGCACGTTTTGTCCATCCCTCGATTTAAAAGAGTACTACAAAAATTTTAAATAATATGAAGCCTATTATACTTTATTAATAAAATCTAATATAAATGTTCAACAATTCGGTGTTTGAAAGATGATAAACTACATCGTTGCTTTTTTCTAAGGATTCTTGACAGATACCGAGAAACGAATATTTTAAAACGAAGCATTTTAAAGGGTAACTGTTTTAAATTAAAATAAATTCGTTCTGAAGGAACATGAACATATTTAGAGTCACACCTAGATGGCGCTCAGGCTGTGTAGAAATTTATGAAAAATATCAATGCATGGGTAAAACTGATGTAGAAATAACTGATTTTAAAAAATTAATATTTTTCCTTTTAACTAATAACAATTAATTCTTTATTTTTTATTCACTAAATTTAGATTTAATTTTGATATTCAATTCTTAATTTAGTTTACTATTCTCTATTGTTAAACCCAACAAAGGGTTGATTCAGATATATGAAAAGCTGTTCAAAGCTATGATAAGTATTCAAATTTTTAGCTTGAAACGCTGAGAAGGAGTCATTTCCGACCCTATAAATCAGATATATTCTTGATCAGCATTAACAGGCGAATCTTTCTATATACATCCCGCCGTAAAATTTCTTTTTCAGAAATTTCCCATTTTTTGAAAAAAAGGAAAGGGGTTACATCATTAAAATTGTCAAAAATTGATACAAAACTACATTTTCTAAAACTTTAAATTGAGTATGCACATTTGAAAACCTAATAAGAACTTACATAGGAACGGTTTCAGAATTAAAATTAATGCATTTTTTGCAAAGTTATGACAAATTCAAATTTGAGCCCCTGATCCAATTGCAAAATTTGAAACACTTTAGCTACCCAGAGTTAGCGTCTTTTCTTGTTTATTTAAAATTCTTAGTAAAAATATTAATATTTCCCATTTATATATTATATCTGTATACCCATTAATACACAAATATTTCACGAACTTTAAACAGTTTCCTATATTCAATTTAAGATACTTCTAGAACCCATCAACTCCGCTTTAGAAGAGTATTTCGGCATGCAAATTTCGTTCATCATCTGCAATTAATACTTAAAAAACTAACGATCAATAAAAATTAGGCAATTTGCTGGTGACAAAATAACTGCTCTCCTTTAAAGTGATTCCCTGGAAAAGCAATCGAAATTAATTGAGGAATTCGCAACAATAAGTCGATGCTCAAGCAACCCACTCGAGAGATGAGTGTCTTCTATCAATAGTGATATTTTTGCCACTTTTATGGCCACAATTGGCCATGTTTGTTTTGGGGAATTGAGGAAGTGCAGCATGTTCCCACTCCCACATCAAGTGGAGTGGCAAAGTGCTCCTCCTCTTCGGTAAATGCTGATTAAATGCCCCATAACTGCGCCAGTGGGTCACCCGGTGGGACAATGAATGCCAATTGTTTTATCTCTGACAGAGAGGACTGCTTCAAGAGCACAACGCACTTGTTAACACAAGCGATTTTCCATGTTCCGTGATATATATACAAATATATATATAGTTAAAGTCGGCTACCGGCCTGAGAGCTAAAGTTTTCAAGACTTGAAGGCTTTGTCGATATATTTTCAATAAGATAAAACCTCATATATAATACATTTCATTTATTTCTAACATTTATAAAGGATACTAACTAGTCCTTCTCTTCTCTTCTCTTGAAATATTTTATAAGAATTACAATGCCGCATATCCCTATTTTAATATATCTCCGTTTAAGTACAAATGTTCTTTATAGGTAGTGTCTCCAAAAATTACCTCATTGTTGACTCAGTTGGCGTTGATGAACGATATTTGTTTGCGAATATCTCGCTAAATATATAGATGACAATATTAAACTGGTGTATACCGCTAGAAAATGATTAAAAGTTAGAAAATAAATGAAACCTTGTCAGGCTGCATCATCCACATTTTAACCTTGCAACTCCATTTCCCATCCCCTTTCCGCTTCGTGTCCGAAAAGCTAATAAAGTGAAGTTTGCGGGTATTTATGTTTGGATGACAAACTTGGCTTTTGTTTATTTGTTGACTAAACTTTGTGTGTAGTTGTTGACTAATATTAGCCAGCTGGCCAAATTGAAACGGTCGGCTTCAGGTCAGTTTCTGTGGTCTTTCCAGCACTTGAAGTTGACTCATTGCCAATGTCATCCCAAAAAAACGTGTGTTAGATATATTAATAGGAATGATAATTAACTTTCTCACTCTCTTTTGGTATACCAAATAAAATATTATTAGTCATTGTTACAGAGAAAGAAATTGAAAGGGGATTGAAACCGTTTTTTAACAGAGTCAGTGGAATAATATTGTAAGAATATATCTTACAATCGTAGCAAAAGGGTGTTTTAAAAATTAGTACTAATTTTATTCTGTTCAAATAAAATAAAGCAACATTAAACTGCTATCCTGTAAGTGTATGCTAATGAGACCCACAATTGCTCTCATATTACTCGTTAAGTATACGCCACATTGACCTTCCTGGAGATAGAAATCTAGGCAGACCCCAAAAATTGTCTAGGTCATGACATCCAGCTGCAGTAAATATATATGTATATATAAACAGATACCCAAAACCATATCAATTACCAGCGTAGAACAACAAACTACGTTGCTACAATGACAACGTGGAAAACTCACATAAAAACCTCGATGCCATAAAACTATGCGCAGTCATCGTGGCGCCACCACCGCCAGAAAAATTCCCATATAGCCGGCTGGCTGCCAAGGGCCACCGCCAAAAACGTGGCCAAAAAGAAAAACAACCCCTTGGGGGATGGTTCAGGAATACTATTTTGTCGGCCGAGCATTCAACTCCATGAGAATTGCGTCACTGGCGGATGGCTGGAATTAAATCAATAGGGACAACTCCCGCGCGGAGCGTTAAACTGGAGCAGCTCAAGCTAGCTCCAGGACCTGGAGAATTTGCATTTTCGTGGCCCACTCAAAACACACTCACAAAGAGAACGGCCAGTTTGGTATTTAGGTCGGCAAAGGATTGCAAGGACATTTCAAAGGCGGGCAAGCATAACTCAGCGAGGTTTGTGTTTCCGCTTTAGTTTTTTCTCTATCTATTCCATAATTTTATTTTATTAATTAATTGGCTCTGCTGTCGGGCATGAATTATGAAGCTTTTTCGGACTACACCTAGAAACCTTCGAACGAATTAAGGCCAGGATATGGCTCTTCGTTCTTTTTTTATTGGTTTCTCGAATAACTCTGAATTATTTATTGCTTCGTTGAGGGCAGTGCAGTCAGGTTATTGATGAACCGCTTAAGTGTTTGGGCAAGGAACAGGATATGGATAATATCCCTAGAAAAATATAGCTAGACGAAAAGCTTGCTGTCATTCTCTGACCATTTCCGACTTTATAAATTTACAGTTTTTAGCTTGAGTCACTTCAGGCTTTCGGATTTGAACTCATTGATATTCTGCGAATGTGTCACCATTGGTCAAAAAATATGGGAGGAAACAGTTGTTTAGATCATTTGCGTACAATTACGGATGGTCCTATGGAGAAATCTGACTCATTCACATATGGTTTATCCCACAAGATTTATTTTTTATTTTGTATATCTATCGGAATTGGTATTTAACAATATTTGTGAATTTTAATAGAAGTTTTTACTGAAATATACCGATGACTTAAGGTGCACATTTATACTAGTGCAGCGAATTCTAATTTTAGAGGCTTAAAACGCTATGAAAGAGTAATTTCCGACCTTATGAATCATATACATTCTTGATCAGAATCAACAGCCAAACCGATCTAGATGTCTCCGGTTAAAAAATAAATTTTTTAAAATTTTCAAAATTTTATAAGGGGTTACATCATTAAAATGGTCAAAAATTGGCAAAATTTCTAATTTTTTTAAATAGTACACAGATTTATTATAATGCAAAAAACTAACATAGAAATGGTTTCCGAATTAAAATTAATGCTTTTTTGGCTTAAATATGATTATTTTAAACTTTGGTTTTGCCGAAAAAAGGCTCATTAAAGCATCAATAAATATTCGCATTCTTTGAAATTTAATATATTTTTATTAATTTATTTAATTCATATTTTTGGAATCTTAAAGGAAGATTGTGTGGTTGTTAGGAACAAGTTCCATCAAACTGATAACAAGGTTGTGGCACCCATAAAACCGGTGGCAACATGCTTGAGTTGTGCGTCTAAACAGCTGATCCAACCACAATTAGCCAGAGGTAGCACCTTTCAGTTTGTTGTCGGCATCTGTTGGTTGCAATACACTTCTAAAATTAAGTATAGATAAGTGCTTTCAACATTTTCAAACAGTGAAGAACTTCATTCAATTTAATTCCTATCAAAAGTTATGATTTTATTTCTACAAATACAAGAAAAAAAAGACTGACAGATGTTAGGAGATTGAGATACAAACCTACCCCGTACCTCAAAATTATCTCACCACCATTTTTTCCCCCAGTGTATCAAGCAACTCATGCAAGTTCGCTGGCAATAAGCTCGCTGGGCGACCGTGTTAAAGCATTCGCTTTCAATATTGAACGACAGTCCGGTGGTTGCATTGAAACGGGAAGGTTGTCGGTGAGATCTCGCGCGTGAAATTGAAATGAATTGAGTCGTGGAGCGCTTTTTAGCCAAAAGCGATTGTTATAACGCTTATTTGATTAAGTACGCAAGTTTCGTTATAAAGTTTTTTTCTTACTATTTGTTATCTCGAGTAGTGCGTGTGCGTTGTCGTTTACATTTATTGTTGTTTAGCTGAGTGGGCGATTTTCGTGGGCGTTTTTTGTGGTTTTTTTGTAGTTGTTTTTTGTTTTTGCCATTTAGAACACAATTTTCAGCGTTGGCTGAAAACTAGTTAGGCATAGAAAAAAATAACCGCACAACGTGACGAGCGTTGTGTGTTGTGGTATTAAAAATATCAATTTCTTTCATAGTCAAAATAGAAATAAAACAAAAGACCGGCAAAATCTAAATTTAAAAACGACAAAAATCACAACAAAACGAAAAACAAAACAAAATATGCATGCCTCTGACATTGCCCATGACGGCCAAGCAACAACAATAATAAACCACATCGATTTGCATTTGTTTTAACTTTTGCTCTAATCAAAATCAGACACACTCACACACGCTCAACGCTATCAACAATCAAAGTGTAACGGGAGCTCTGTAAAGTTTCGTAAACTTAAGCCACAAAAAAGAAGTAAATAATAATATACAACAAATTAAATGTTCCACAAAATTTAAATGTTAAAATTTCTTGTTTCAATTCGGAAAACAGCTTGAGAAAAATCGTGCTGCAAAGCCAATTAATAATAACAACAACAAAATTTAAGAAAACCACTTAAAAATCGGTGTGTGCCAGACAAGTGGAAAAATCCGAGGTGAGTTTGGCAATCGTTTGAATTGATTTTTTAGTTTTTTGGGGAAAGAGAAATGTGAAAAATCAACCCGAAATTGACCCACTGCATCCAACCGGGCAATTATTGATTTTGCAGGCGTGTGTGTCCTTCGGCGAGAGAAAAATGCAATGCCGGTCGGTGTCGAGAAAACTCCACGACGACAGCAACAGTCCAAGGACACTTGCCTGCTGCAGTGCTTGAACTTTTCACCTCCCCTGGCTGCTGCAACCCCAACCCAACCCAACCTCCCCCTCTAAAGAAAAACAGCTGTGAAATCCTCTCAGCACTGCGCCGGCAATGCTTTTCCGCTTTTCCGTGTTGCAACCACGCTTTGCTTGCTTTCAATTTCAATGCAACGCCGAACAAGTGGCAGCAGGTTCTCTTTTAGCCGGCACGTGGGCGGATTTTCCTCGTTGCCAAGGGGGGGTATTGTGGGTGTTCCAGGCCAGCTTTTCCGGCCCTGCATGAGCACTTTGAATAGGATAGTTGGTGTGGGTCTACTCGTAGTAAAAACATTAAATATTCAAGCAGAAAAACGGGAGCAGAAGTGGAATAATTGAAATACTCACAAATTGTTTTATTCTTGTATTCCTTTATAATTGAAAGTTCTTCCTCCAGACAATTAATAATTAATTTATAAATGAAATACGTAATATAGAGTGTAATTTTTTTATAAAATTATAGTTTAAATAGTTAGTTCTTAAATCAATTTTAAATCCTTTGCAGTCTCTCTCTCTGTTTTTTGTAGATTTCTTTCACTAAACTGAACCAACTGATCCTGCATCTTTTTTCATTTATTAATATATTATAAAAAGTATATAAGAAACTTGCTCTAGATTTTCTCTGTGTAATCGAAAATACCCAATTAGCATATAGACCCCCGAGCAAGTATGTCGCTCCTCCATATGGCGGCTAAAGCTCCTGCAAAGTAGGCTTCAATCTGCTATATTTACCACCAAACCCACTCGATACAATTTTTTTCGCCTTTGTTAATTTCGCGCCGCTTTGCGCTGCATTTTTCCCATTAATTAAGTTTCAATGGTGACCATTCAGGCGGCAATCGAGTACAGTGAGTACTCTTAGATGAGGCCTGCACTATATGTGGGTAGTTATTCGCTTTTTGTGCCGAGTTTACGCTCATTTTAATTTAACACTAGAGCGATTTTGTCGGCCTATCTATCAGATATATCTGCCAGAGAAACTATAGTTAGATAGAGGTCCTGCGATAAGCACACAATGTTGGGGAGTGTGCCAAAAAAAGAATATGTAAAAAATATACAGCCGAGGGGCTTGTTGTATCCGGGTTTTTGTAATGCAAGTAGAGGGGGTTTCCCTTATCTCTATATTTGATTTTCATTTGGGCATGAGCTCATCGACGGCTGCAGATTTGGTTTCGCACTCAGGTAGTGTAGCCAAAAAAAATATCAAATTCCCTATATGAAATACGGTTACCCTCTGGCAAAGACACCCTTCATATTTTGGTTCTCAGTTCCCCCCTCGATGGCATTGATTTCACATTACAAAGCGACCCCTTTTTTTGGGCGCGTGTTTTCAATTTATTTTAGTGGAATTGCCTTCGATTGCCAGGGTTTCTTCAGTTAAAAATAATTGTTCTTATGGTTTTTTAACCCTTCTTGATTGTTATTGTGTGATTTATAATTTATTTTCCCCCCGCTTTTCTATGGCTGCATTTGGGAATTTGCATAATTGCATTTGCCGCTCATACATATAGGGCGTCTTGCCGCTTTTCACTCTAATTTCAGGCCATATTTTCACCTAAACCACCCATGGAGTTTCAGTTGATTGCAGCATTTTGTGGTTTCCCGTCGCTTTTCATTTGTTTTCCTCCCTCCTCCTCGGTTTGGATTCAGTTTACCTTTTTGTGTGGTTTCACTTTGGTTGTTGGCACCTTGTTGGGATTTAACGGGCCATTATGGAAAGGGGAGGATAAGAAAATCCCGGTGCTTAGTATCCCTTTACTGGAATACCTGGCTTTATTTTTGCAGATATACTCCTTACGGGGAAATGAGAATGGAGTTTAAGTTTGCTATCTTTTATACCTCTTACAAGCCATTTTTATTGCCTTTACACAGGAGAAATCTAAGGCTACTATTGTTTATACATTTAATACTAATATATGGTTGTTTTTGGTAACAAATTATACTCTAAATGCTGTTGAAGGTGTTCTAGGAATATTTATAAACATCTCTCCAGCTTCTACTTGAAACAATTTGTAAAATACTTTATAGTACACACTTTTTCTCCGTGTATTTGATAGTAATTTTATTGCACAATTCACGCGTAATGTTTGTATTTTGTCTGGGTTCAGCCCCCCTTACGGAAAAGTGTTGCTAGTTCCATGAGTCATTTGATAAGAACAAATGATAATTGTGGCGCTGCAACAGCAACAGAAAAATAACAACAATTAACCGAGGCAGCAACAATTTTACTGTTCAGAAAAAAATATGTAAAAGAGCGGAAGAAAACCGAGAGTGGAAAGGAAAACAGAACTATTTCAAGTGCAAAGTGAGGAAAATACACACACCTCCAACCGCCGCCCACCTAATTTTCAGTGGGTGCTCGAGGTGATGTGGTGAAATTTTCTGAGCCACTCGACATTCGCTTTTCACTCTCTCTCTCCCTGCCTGGCTTTTATTCAAGAAAAATTCATAAGGCATTCTATATGCAATATCAAACAAGCACGGCAGCCTGCCTGCCAGCTGTAGAAAAGTCATAAAAATTTGAAAATTTTTGTTGCCACCTTCAAGGTCACCAAATATCGTTAAAATGCCTTTTGTCGCTGGCATTTGTTTGCCATTAAGCTATATGTATGTGGCTACCGAGCAGATCGGCAAGTTCTCTATATAAACAGACTGCAGGCTTTCCAAGAGCAAAAAAGTGAATAACAAAAATAAAAGAGCAAATATAGGTGAACGAAATGAATTTCATTCATGCGACTCACATGATTGATAAGCAGCCACCGCGCACTGATAAACATTTTGCCTAATTCTCTTTGACTTTGGCCCAACGTTATGAATATTAATAAACTTCGGTGGTGGGATGACGTCAGACCTAGTGTCTATATAGTGCATTTTGACAGATGACGAAACAGAAAGCGCAAGTCAGATCAAATGCAAATGGGAGACCAGGCCCTGAATGAAGATGAATGAGCCAAGTGATTGGAAAGGGCATGAGTTACAAATATTTAGACACTAGGAGAAAATTACTAAAGAATTTTATATGGGTTGCAGAAAATATCAGACAGTAATTCTTCAAGAAAAATATATCGGAAATATATCATAACTGAGCTTAAAATAGTCGCATTCTTAAAATACTTATAAAGGTTTTTACATGACAATTTCATAGACAAATCAAAGTTTAAAAATCTCATAAATAAGCCAAAAATGCATTAATTTCAGTTCGAAAAATGCTATAATGCTAGTTTTTGCAAGGGTAATAAATCTGCATACTTTATTTAAAAATTTTAGAAAGTTCAAATTTTTGACAATTTTTTAAAATTTTAACGATGTAACCCCTTATAAAATTTTCAAATTTGGAAAAAATTTCAAAAATTTATTTTTCGTCCAGATATGGCTAGATCAATTCGGAAGTTAATGCTGATCAAGAATATATATGATTTATAGGGTCGGAAATGATTTCTTCACATCGCTTTAAGCTTTTGACCTTAATTAGAATCCATTCGAATAAATAGAAGAAACCCTTACAAAAAAGTATTTTTAAAGTATTTTAATTTAAACTTGTTTAGTAACCGTTTTTATAATTTCGAATAATAAGTTTTTATTAGAAATTTCAGTCCCTACACATTAATACAGGTTATCTTTATACAGCCCCTTTGCTTATTATTTAATTAAATATTTAAATACTTTCTAAAAGCAAAATTCTTTCAAAAATAGTATGGCAGTGATTTGCCAGCTTTGACATATAAATAAGCCAACTTATATTACCAAAACAACCAAATATTTATTTTATAAAACAGAGACAAACACGTATCGTCCAAAGGGGCAAGTGAAGGAAAAGAGCTACGAAAAATAGTCATATGTTTACGGTATAATCATAAATGAGGCGGCAGTTTTTCCCCATTTACTAACGAAAGGCTGACAAACTTGGGCCGTCACAAGCGTTTGACATTTTCATTTGACTTTGTCAGCGGCGGAAAATGAAAATAGCCACAAAACCACCTGCAGCTCACAGGGCGTAACTAATTTGACACACCAAACACACACATGGGGGAGGATGGTATGTGAAAACTGCACTGCGTTACGTTTTGTTATTAGTTTTTTTTTTTGGAAATCTCTTTTCTTTTTTGAATTTTCCTGCTGTTTTTTTTCTGTGGTACTATCGGCCCAACTTCATCGCAAGGGTCAAAAGCTCAGCAAACGAGGAGAACATGCAATGGCGTTAAATTTTAATGCGTGCTGCGGAATTATGACAGAGGGTTTTGGGCGACCCAAGAGGTTGCGTTGTTGCATTTGTGGGTGTGTTTTTCTTTTTTTCTTTCCATATTTTTCATTGGCCAGTCACGCAATGCAGATGGTGGAAAAGCAGGCAGCTTTTCCGCTTCAAGTTTGCCAAGATAGCGGCCAGAATTCGTTGTCTTTAATGGCATAATACGCGGAAGGAGAGAGGACTTATAGTTTACCCAGAACGGACAATGACATCAACTTGGGAACGAAGGCCCCTTATCTATGCGTTGACATCGCAATTTATTAGATTGTATGTTTTAAGTTTTCTTAAGTTTATCACCTAAATTAAATATTTTTTGTAATATCGTGTAATTGTTAAGTGGAGCGAAAAGATAGCGTCTGGCGAAAATGATCTCAGAAATACTAACAATAAGCCAAAAAGGCAAGGAGAAGGTTGCTCTAGGTGTAAATTAATAGTGTTCATGGTGGAAAAATTATCTTTACTCTTGATCTTTTGGGGAGATTTTCAGGAAATTACAGAGATAACTAAAGATAATTTGATAACACATAGCAAAAGTTAACAAAACAAGACCTTGTAGTAATAACTAGACCCAAATGATCTCAATTTTTCCACTGAGTAACATTTTCGATATCAAAAACAAATATTGGAGACTTGAATAACCTTGAAATGATACCAAGACCCACTGACCAGCTTACGTCACTTTAGGCCAATGTCCAAAACCAAAAATAACAACAAAAAGCTTAACATTTAATGTCCGGCTCCACATTAACCCCACACCCGCCCAACGGGGCCAAACAAGTGACAACGACGAATGTCACCGAGAGACTTTTGACGTTGAATGAACACGAAATTGGAAATTGGAGCGCACGCTTCACTCGCCCAACGGTGAGCGATAAAGACCAGAAACAAAAAAAAAGTAAAATTAAATAGATATGGAAACGAATTCGGATGATTTACTGCACCTTCGATAGTGCCAATGGCCACTCATCAGATCACCCATTAAAAATAGCAAAGCCAAGCAAAAACACACCGAAAGGAAAGCGAAAAGCTTCGAAGAAAACTGAGAAAGAAAAACAGCGAATGGAACTAGCAGGAATCAAACAAATATATTTTCTGAACAAATAAACGGACATTAAATTAGAATCCGCATTTTGGGGGGAGGCCAACATGTGGCGAAGGTAACACCGCCCGGCCAAGTTAAGAAAAAGTGCTAAAAATGTTTATTGGCTAATTTTAAATGACCAAAAATGTGCAAAATGTGTTTGTTTCAATTAAAATGCCATTCCACATAGTTTCAGGTTATACAACTAAGAAATTGAGTTTATTTATACTCTTAAACTAGTTTTCCTTTGCTTTTACAGTTCTTAAATTGATTTTTTTGCGTTTCAAAATTTAAGTGCTAATTGTACCTCTTAACATATAAATGAATCAGTTTTTATTTTCGCGCCTCATAATATTTTATAGAAATATATATATACAAGAAAATGTTTTTAATATGCTTAGTCTATACTTTGATATTAATTTATGTGCTAAATATAAAACACTTTAATAAAAATGTTTTATTGTTTAAGTTAAAATATGGCAAGTGTTGTTGAAGTACTTATTTCCACCTCTCAATAAACACTTTGTCGGCAAGTTCGTAATGAAATTTGGCAATTTTCATCACGTATTTAATTAATTTCTATCGGAAGAACTTGTAATTTTATTATGGTCAGCTTTTTCAATATGCTGCTATACTTTATATTTATACTATATAGATTTGTTTGTGGCTGCGAGTGCGTCGAACTTTCAGTGAGTCAGAGGGGGAGCTCCGTGATGTAATTGTGTTTTTATGAATGATCGTAAAACAAATGCTCACGTTAAGTATACGACACGTGCACCGCAATTGCTTATTAGCAATTTGGCGCCAACTTTTGGCCATATCAAGTGTTAGTCTTCTTTGTAGTTTTTGTTATTTCATTTTTCCTTTTTGTCCCTGAGAAATATGATTGATTTGCTGGTGAAATATAGTTTTTTTTTTTTTTGCTCTGCGGGAGGCTGGCGCTGACCCAGTTTCGTTATTTACTTTCAATAATATCTATGAATATATTCGCCCGACAAAAGAGAACCAAAAATAAGCTCAGTTCTGCTCTGGACCAGTGTTATTTTTTGTTTTTGTTGAGTAAATTACTTATTTATATTATTCAGCACAGAAGCACCGTCAAAAAGGCGACAGTGACAACGATGACGTCGTCGGTTTGAGAACAAAAACGAAATAAAAACAAAACAAAAAACCTAGTGCTATTAATTTTGATATATCCCCTTGACTATGGTATTGTTTGGTGGCTTTTGGTCTCTCACTTAATTGGTTTTTTTTGTTTTTTCGCTCAGCCTAATGATCCGTCATCAGCGTTTACGGTACGTATACGTAATATTGCACTAGACAAGTGCAACGCGCCCTGTATATATAGATCTCGCCCGCGCATTTTTGTGGGCGTTTTGTAATGCTGGAAAATAATAATAATAATACCGACAGAATGGTTATTTCGTGAGCCATAAAGATAGATACATTATTAAGTGCTCACAGGCCTGACATGAGTAATAATTTGCATATCTAATTCGCGTTTGTTAACCTGCCACAGAGACAATTGACAGAAGCCTAAAATGTATGTATTTGTAGGTTGTCGGTCATCGTTTGTTTAAAAAAAGACCCGAACATAATTTTGGGAAACTATTAAGTAATTAGTAAGACCTGACTTTGGTAAATAATTCTTTGCTGGGAATTTACCAAGTGTGAAGTCCCAAATTTTGTGCAGATTTTGCTGTCACATTTTAATGGCCAGCGTAACATGGGGTCAATGCTGCCCCTTCCAACTCTTTCTGACTCAACCCTTGTCATTGTCACACGACAAATAATAATAATAATAAAAAGAAGAGAAGAATGGATGACAATTACATAATTACCAAGTTGTGCCTTGGCAATTAACTCGACACTCCAAGTCGCTTTCTCTGCTCTTGATTGATGACACTCGCAGCGAATTAAGAACAATTTGGCTGCATCGTGTCCTTAACGTTCAATATTTACACTCGTTAATCAATAAACGTATTGAATCCCAATTGATCCAATTTCCATTTTTCCCATATTTCCAATGAGGGCTGAACAGCGAAGGCTGTTCACAGATTTAACGCAATAAAAGTCGATTTAAAATGCATAATGTGATCGCTAATTGTTACAACAAACCACAAAAATACCAATATGTAGAAGGGGTTGGGTTGTGTTGGGTTGTTTGGGGAAGTGCGGGTCATACCGGGTTCAATGATTATTAATCAAATGCCAGTTTAATTATGCGACTTGTTAGAGACACACACATCACACACCAAACACCACACACAACTCGTGTAATCGCTCAGGGTCCCTCGCTTGATGCTTCCCTCGGAGGTCTGCGGTCTGCGGCTTCAATTAAAATTCGTTCCGCCGATCAAATTGATCTCGACAAGCCAAGCTCTCCAAAAATGAAAGTTTACGAGTCTGTCTTTTTTTGGCACTAAGCACTGAGAACAAAAATTGAGGATCATGCTAAGAACTGAGCAAATAAGAAACATTTTTTGAGGGATTTTTAAAACTTGTAAGTTTTATTTAAAGCATGTTTTATATATCCAAAGATAACTTTATGTGATCTAAAATTAGGTTTTAAATAGGGTTTACAAAGAAATTAAAGTACTTGGGAATTATTTAACCTTTGATTAATAGATAATTTTATAAGGATTTTTTAGCTTTGTGTATTGGTAACCTAGTTAAAGAGCTATATTTCTTTGACTTTCAGCTGTACAATTTGACTTAAAATCTTGTCCAAATTTTCTTTAATTTCTCACTATTTGTTATCCCACTTTCACTCTTCAAATACCCCTTTATTCCCAGTGTATCTGTACAACCTCTGGTTATGGCATTGTCTGTTCTTGGCGCCCAATCGAATGTCAAGTATGAATCCATTGACGACAAAAGGCACACCATTTCTTTTGATGGCCCTTCATCGTGACGATTCTGCTTCCCCAATGTCTCTCTCTCTCTCTCGTTTTTATTACTTAATATTTTTTATAAATTTCTGTTTTTGGTAAAGTATTTTGATTGTGACTCCCTTGGGTCCCCCGGCAGACGTTCTTTTGCAGTTCGCGGCGAGCTTTTATCGGGTGCGGTTCTCCTCAGACTTTGACTTTGCCTCATCGTCATCGTCATTTGTTTACGATTTCGCATGGATAACCGAAGCAAGTAATGATATGCCGCCGATATTCAATATTCCGGTCTCCACTTTTTGGATTCGGTTCGCGTTTTTTGGCATTGAACTTGCGGCTTAATCATTGTCAAAACACACAGACATAGACACACGATCGCCAATGCAAACAATCGCTGGCGAATGCATTCGATAAACACATTTGGTCTTCATGTTTCTGTTTATTTTTCACTGCTCGTATTTGCATTATAAATTAGTTTTCAATTTACGGCACAAACATTGACAAAGTGACATCATGAATTGTACCCCAGGCAGTGGCAAATTGTTATGATTTTTCGTTGGGGAAAAAGTAAACAACTAAAAGCAAAAGTAAAGCTGGGAATCCGTGAGCGCCAACCATGCAGATGCGTGAAAAATATTTCAAGGGGAAGGGTAATTGAGCGAATAACGAAACGGAAATGAAGGAACTAAATGTTCCAAAACCGAATGATTTAGTTAAGCTATTTTTAGAGGAATGAAATATATGGGATTCTGTGAAATATTTGAAAAAATTAATGCGAGTATTAGGCAAGTGTCAAGGTACACGAGGGGTCGGTCTAGAAGTTCAGCTTCCACGCCCCCAAATTGATTGTGATTGTGATTTACTTGCTTTGACCTGGGGGTCACCATTTATCTCTGGTCAATTTTGATGAAGGGCATTCACTAATGTTTTCCGGCAACTCCTTTCAGGCCAAACCCAAAAAAGAAGACCGCGCAGCAGCCAGGGATCCATGCAAATTCTGGAGAAATCTCAACTGTGCAGCTGGAGCTAGATACAACCGGCAGATAGATTACTTGGAGAGCACATTTCCGCACTTGGTGTGGGACAGTGGGACGAGTCTGTTTGTTTACTGCACCGAGAACCCACCGAGAAGAACCACACGATGCCCGGCCACTTGCACGCCATCGATCTCTGAGAGGCTCCAGTCCTCCTTCTGACTCTCCTCTTGCAATATTTGGTTGCTGGTTGGTGGTGCAATCGCCAGATAAATTCTAATAAATAGCCAGACAACAGCATACTTGGCATAAAAATAAATAAGAATCGAAGAACGCAAGAACGCAGGAACGCGGAACGCACATTGCAACAGATTCGGATTGAAAATTCAAATTCACCCGAGGTGTGGAGTGCATTGGCCAGACCAAATCGGGCCATAACACCTCCTCCCGGATTTCATTTTTTGTGGCAACATAGACGTAGGTCGCGGCCAAAGTGTTCCAAGGCAGAGGCAGAGGCAACCGGAGCGAGGTGTACACCTTTGGCACCATGGAGGGCGGTTACGTCAACGAAGGTGAGTTGTAATTACATTTCAATTCAAGTGTGTGCCTTGAGATATAAGGAATGCCTATCTTTTGATGCAGTTTTTATAGTGATTATTAATTTGATGTCTGAATATGAATGATTTTTATAAGAGTTATGAGGCATCTTTTCTTAGTTTAAGTTGCTTTTTACCTAAAATAATACTTAAGATACTTTCTTAATAGAATTTAAAACACTTTACTTCTTTCTTTGTATTCACATATTTCATTTGAATAAGTCAGTAATTTATTTTTGCTTGGCTGCCTTTATTTCATCGGCTAATTACTCATAGCCACCCACCGACTAAAGCTTATACCTAAGAAATGTATATCCGTCTGATACATCTTACATCACGACTATTTCGACAATAAATACTAGTATTTTCTCATTCATTCGATGGCTTTTGCTCTCTCACCTACAATACCTAAAAATATTTGAAAACACACAATGGCATAATACCATTCATTCAACAAAATTCTCGGACATGTGTTTGAGCGAAATATATTTGACTTTGAATTCGAATTTTCACAAAAATGTTGCACATGCAAATCTCAAAGTGATCTCTCTGCACAGTGACACCGAAAATCTGCAATTTATTAGCAAAATGCAAATGCAAATTATTCAAACAGACACTTCACTCACCATTAGTCAGAGCAATGAGGCAATGCATCTAGATAGATCTTTGAGCCATTTGCAATATTTTTTTTTTATTTATTTTGGCAAACACTTTGGTTAATAGAAATAGACAATTACGTTACCTGGCCTGAGTCAGAGCACATAACTAACCCAAATCAACGAAATTCTTTTTAAAATACCAAAATGCTAACCATCATGCAGAGGATTCAGATGCCATAATGGGTGTGGAAAGTCCAGGTAAATTGTTAAGTAGAAATTGATATTTAGTTATTTTTTAATACAAATTTAAAGAAGTGATCTTACTTATCAGAATTTTCTTAATTTTATTTTAAATATCATAACATCAAGTCGTTTTCTAGTAGTAATCCAAGGCATACTACCTTCGGGGTCTGATTAACTTAGTAGTTGATGCTTCTACTTCTATTTTAAGTAATATATACTTTTATTTTCATTCAAAATATAGAAAATACTTTAAGTAAATTTTAATTGTAAACTACTTTTCATATCTATTTGGCTTAAAGTATTTGTTGACCATATTTTCATATAGTCTGCCCATAACCGGCACATGATTACACCAAACTAAGGCATACAAAAGGTGGGGGAAACTGGCTTAGAATACTTAAAGGGCCATCATCAACTTTGTGACGCCCTATTAAAGTCTGAGTGAGATGCAAACGAGTATCTGCGAGATACTGAGCCGGTTTGACACGCCTCCACAGCCTCCCTTTTCAGATCGCAGAATCGGTCGCTGACTCTATCATCTTGTGACGCCACATGACGCTACATTATATCGTCTGCTGTTTTGGCTTTGTTTCACATTTACATAAGAGGATTAACGAATGTAAATCACAGACCAAATTGGCTATGCCCGTGCCTCTCATATTCGATTCTAGGTATCATCGGAGAATGCAAAAAATAAAACGCTGACCAAGGCGAAAAGCGAGCCGTAAAGTAGTCAAGCTCACTGCTGCCGCTGACAACTGTGTTCCACAAAAGGCAAAACTGTCTGTCTGTTTGTCTGTTTGTCAGTTGGATGCTGGGCGATTGGCTTTTCAATTAATATTCATTTGGGAGAAGGCAAAAACTGTCATAAATTATCGGACAGGAAGACAGACGGACAGGGTTCCTTGAGCGGCGTCTTCAAGTACTCTGTATGTGGCGTCAAAAACTGCAACGCGGTCACGTCTTTCACGGGCATCTCGAAATTCGTACGAGTATCTTATGATGTCATCTCCAGGGAGAGCTCTTTTTTTCACTTTTATTTTTGTTAAAAAAAGGATCCAAGCAAGCATAATAAATTGGCAGTTTTGTCGGGGCAAAGACATTGAATTTGTTTCCCCGAATTCTTTAAGCCAGACCGAAACCTCATTTATCTTCAGCCGATGCGGTTTCGCTTTCTTAAATCACTTCTTTTTCCGACTCTTTAAAATAGCTTTTTGTTTATGGAATTCTTAGGAATTTTTCGCATGGCATTATTTCAAATTTGATCTTGAATCCGGAACATAAACACACTCTTCTTCACAGTTGCGCAAATGGTTTAATGAAGACAGCTGAGTGCGCCATTATTTTCTAATTAAACAATGTTTAGTGTCAGTATTTATGACAATGGAACGTGTGGAATAAACAATAACAAAAGTATAAATATTTTATATGTTCTGTAAATCAGACACTAAATTTTGATGGTCATGGTTGGTTGAGTCTTACACTGACCTTGTGACCTTGCCAGGGCTTTGAACTAGACATTTTATGTTCACATGTGTATTGAAAGTTTGTAAAAATTAACAGAAAAAAAGACATAAGCCACAACGATGACGACAGCATGACTAAACACACCAGTGACGAAAATTTATGGCCAACAGTTGCGGACATTGTCGGCTAATACCCTGGGAAAAGAGGTGGTATAGTCTTAGCAATCAGTTTGTAATGATAAACAAAAAGCTATCTTCGGGGTGTCCAAGGTTATATATCCTTGCAGTTTGCAAATGAATTACGGGAATGAATTAATCAATATTTATCGATATTTTTATATGAAAAAACAAAATTTCACAATTTCACAATTAAGTCAAGTCCGTCTGTTCGGTTCTACGCAAACTTGTTCTTTTAGTTTTGAAGGTATCTCAATGAAACTTTGCAGTTAGTATTCACTCTTATATTAGTCGGAACGGGCCAGATCAGACGACTATATCATATAACTGTTCCTATGGCAGCTATCGGAAAATTTTAGAAAAACAATGATAACTTTTACAATTTTTTACATATATTTATCTAATTTGATTCAAAGCTTTATTATTATAGAAATTCGTTTTTAGTTTTATGAAAATCGGAATACTATATAACTGCAAGAGAAACGATTGTTAAATGTATTAACATTAACATTAATTAACTATGACCAGTAAGTTACTCTGATCAGTAAATATCAATGAACATTAAGTAACTCTGAACAGTAAATATCTATGACCAGTATGTAACTATAATAAGTAAGTATCTAAGGTATCTAAAAATATTAGAAAGTTTCAAAGTATGTAAAGGGGACCAAAGCAGTAAGGAAGTAAGGAAATAAATTGGAACATATAGTCTAGACCTAGGTCTGATACCACCAATAGCTTCTTCATACATAATATAAATGTCATGATTAAGACTTACCGCAGTAAAGGACACGTCATTGTTTACTTCCTTTCAGTGTAGTGACCAAGATTGGGTGACTTCATCCAAAGTAAGCTTCTTCCTAGTCATCCAGATGTGTTTCATTGGCCACGTCATATTTTTGAAGTCGAAGGCTGATCACTTGCACTATCACTATTGATGTTAACACTAGGTACCCCTAGGACAGACTGAGGCGGGCGCGACCTCAGCGCCTCTATTTATAGTCCCCGAGCAGAGCAGAGAAGAGCAGAGAAAAGCAGAGAAGAGCAGAGAAGAGCAGAGAAAGTGAGTGTGAGTGCGTGGGAGAGAAGCAGTTGCCTCTAGAGATTAACATAGAGTGAGAGGGGGGGAGGCAGCGAGAGACGCGACGAGGTGATATTTAAGTTAGCTATAAACAATAAGTAACTATGAGCAGTAAGTAACTCTGATCAATAAGTATGAATGAACATTAAGTAACTCTGATCAGTAAGTATCTATAACCAGTAAGTAACTATATCAGTAATTATCTAAACTATCTAAAAGTATGAGTAAGTATTTAAGTATCTAAAGGGGACCATGGCAATAAAGAAATAAATTGGAATATAAAGTCTAGACCTAGGCCTGATCATGTCATGGTTAAGACTTACCGCAGTAAAGGACACGTCATTGCTTACTTCCTTCCAGTGTAGTGACCAAGAATCCAAGAGAGCTTCTTCCTAGTCATCCAGATGTGTTTCATTGGCCACGTCATATTTTTGAAGTCGAAGGCTGATCACTTGCACTATCACTATTGATGTTAACACTAGGTACCCCTAGGACAGACTGAGGCGCGCGCGACCTCAGCGCCTCTATTTATAGTTGACGAGCAGAGCAGAGAAGAGCAGAGCAGAGCAGAGAAGAGCAGAGCAGAGCAGAGCAGAGCAGAGAAGAGCAGAGAAAGTGAGTGTGAGTGCGTGGGAGAGACGCAGTTGCCTCTAGAGATTAACATAGAGCGATTAACATAGAGTGAGAGGGGGAGAGGCAGCGAGAGGCGCGACGACGTGATATTTAAGTTAACTATAAACAATAAGTAACTATGAGCAGTAAGTAACTCTGATCAGTAAGTATCAATGAACATTAAGTAACTCTGTAACAAATAAGTTTTCCAGTTTTCAACAGATTTTCATCAAATTTGGTAATTAGCCATTATATATTAATCTAGAATTTTGTGTACAATGTTACGAAAATCGGACTACTTTATCATATAGCTGCCATACAAACGATCGTTAAAAATAGAGAAAAAATGCAGGCATTACTTTATTGTTCTTTAACATATGTATATATATAATTTATATTGTATTAATTCCTAGTGGTCGAATTTCGGTCTGCAATGGTATACAATCTTCGGCGTGCCGAAATTAGCGTCCTTTCTTGTTAAAACTGCATTCTCAATTTAAAATTTTATTTTTTGACAATTTTAACGATGTAACCCCTTATAAAACATCAAATTTCGGAAAAATTTCGAAAAAATTTTTTTTATACCGGACATGGCGATATCTAGTCGCCTGTTGATGTTAATCAGAATATATATGATTTATTAGGTCGGAAATGATTCCTTTACAGCGTTTCAAGCTTCTAATTAAAATTATAAGACCCTGGAAACATATAAAATATTTGTATCTCAAAAGTTTTTAAACTAAGTTCATGCCACTGTGTATTTACTCATTTGTAGGGTATTTTCCATGCCTATGTCATCTGAAATTCCTGTATTCACGCTCTTATTACCTTGATCTTGTTGTCTGTTTGTGACCAAGAATGAGACTATTTACATAATAAGACGTGATAAGCTATCAAAATTTGCATAAAACCATGTGAAGAAGCTGGCATGTAGGCGTTAAGCCAAACACCTCATGCTTATGACAGTTAATTCGGAATATAAACACATATAAAAGTGAGCCAGAAACAAGTTTAAATTGCAGTCAGACAACTTTGCTCTAAGATTTGATTTTCAAATCGTTTAAGTATCCCATTTGTCGAGGTGTTCAATTACACGACATGGAAAATGCATCTCAAGTTGCTGCAAGCTCAATGTCGGAATTTGAAGTGGTTATTCGATATGATCAATTGTCGCCAAAGACAAATAGTTTTCTGATGCCTCCATTCCATCATATATCTATTTTCACCTACTGTCAGCTTTTCCCCTGAAATGTCAGTTTTCATTGCCAGCTGGAAAGTATTTTCCCCCTGCCATTTGTGGTCCAAGTTCAGGCCACAATCGCTGGCTGCCTGGCTGACCAATCGCTGTGTTTATTGACCAATTGATCGGCGGTGCATTAAGAAAAACACGTGATTTGCATTTAAATTGTTTTTGGCTCCGGACTCAGCAACCGAATTCTTTTGCCAGCCAGTCAGCCGGTGTTTATTTGCATTGGCGCCTTTTGCCGTTTTGTCACACGAAGAAAAATGTAATGACATTGAGTTTTAAAATAGAATTATGGATTAATTTGTATTAAATTTTAGCTTGTTATCTTAACAGGAATTTTTGAAATATTTTGTAAGTATAAATGTAAAATTTATACAAAGAAAATTTACCTCCTTGATTATTTTTAAAAGGAATATTATTTAAGATTAGGTTA